CATTAATGTGCTAATATTTTGTCTTTGCAGGCAATATGGATCCTGAGAATGTGACCTATTCTGGAGACCAAAACTGATGGATCTCTTGAGGTGACTTGAGGAGAACCCTGTTCAATCTGCTCAGAGGGCTCTCTAGGGCAGTATCCTGCTTTCCAAAATGCTTAGCCACAGATAGTCAGGGCAGCCTCCCCCAACTTAATACTCTTTAAATGGCCAGCTCTTCTGTTTGCACACTCTGGCTTGCTGGCTAGGAACTGTGTTGAAATCCCATCTATCTGGAGATACCAGGTTAAGTTGGGCTTGCTTAGTGGGACAATAAAGGACAAAAGCTCCATAGCTTCTTATCCATATTCCTCATTTCCCAGCTAATGCTACCCACCTCTGATTCAGAAATGGTGTAGAGATATCACTTGTGTCTTACATTAGCTACAAAAGTCTACCATACAATAAAGAACTGCAGTTCGAATGTTATTTTGAAGGGGAAAAAATCTTGATTATGTCGACTGTAATATACTGCTGGATGTGTAGGTTTCACAGATTCCATGCTTATGTTTTAGATGCATGTCCAACTAGTTTGCAAAACATCTAAATGTCTTTAGGCTTCATAATGCTGGAACAACAACAAAAGTTTTTTAGCTATATGCATGTGTGAAGAACATATGTATGGATATAAAAGCTAAATGAGCAACTTCCTTGGTTTGATCAAATTTATTGAAATGGCACCTTAAATATTTAGAGCTGTGCATTAAATAAATGTTTAGAATAATTTGCAGGGGAAAAGGTCTGAATAAAAGACGTTTGTGGCAGTACATGGATAAGTTAATAATGCTACAGTAATCTGTGAATATGATTAAAACATATACGATCTTGAAAATATGAGGTGGACTTTCCCACTTTAGAGAGCTCAAGCTAGACTCAGACCTCTCAATAATTAATAGTTTTGTTTCTGTAACTAGTGTGGTTACCATTCACCTTTCTTTTTTCTTTTTTCTCCTTAGAAAATATGAAACAAGGAGGCCAGCACACTGGCCTAAGAAAGCGAAATTCTCTTCAGCTTGTTTCACTTTTGCTCTGCTTGGATACTGATTTCAAGAATTACTGTAACGGCAACCTGTTTCTAAATTTATCAGTTTAAAAATTATGCTTAAATGGAAAGGAGGGAAGGGTGGAAAGTAGCTTAATTATTACTGTCAACAATGCTGAGTGCAGAATTACTATTTTAGAAAAGTGACCTATGCTTATCCAGGACTTAAACAAATGAGCAAGAAATTTAGATGTTTCCCTGAATAATCAATTCATACCATCAGATTTTGATAGTTAATCAGTTGAGAAGATCACTCAGTGCAAATATTTCAACATCAATCTTGTTCCATATGTTCATTTGCCATCAAACAGGAATTTAAACCATGCCAAAGATGCCATTTCTCCAAAATGCTTTCTTTGCAAGGTTTATTTCCCTCAGATTGCTTCTCCTGATTTTACAAAGCCCACCTATTCATATCATTATTTACTTCATTATTTTCTCAACCTTGGGCAGCTTAAAGATGGATGGACTTGAAGTCCACCCATCTTGAAGCTAAGAAGGCTTACTATGTTTTATGTGAATGATTAGAACAAAATCTCTAAAACAACTTTCCTGAACTGGTGCCCTCCAGGTGCATTATTATAAGATCAGAAATCTAGGCCAGCATGATCTTTAATGTTACTCTCCAAGACAGTGTTTCTTAACCATGGCAATCTAAGATGTTTGGGCTTCAACTGAACCAAGAATGGCTAAGAATGGTTGAGAAACCTGTTCTAGGGATTCTGGGAGTTGCAGCCATCTGGCAGACACCAGGATGTAGCAAACTATTTTACAGGGAAAGAGAAATCCTTATTTCCAGAAAGGCCAACTTTTCTAACTGGATGGCATAGGTAGCATGTTTTTCCCCTCAAGAAAAGCTTAGTAGAATATTAGACTTTGGTTTGCTGATGTGTATGCATGCCTTCTTTAGTAGTATCCTTCACATAATCTTTAGAATAGTTATTGAGCAAGATAAGATCACCAAAGAAGTCTTGAAAACATACTTCTAATTGATAGGCTCTCAAGTTTATATACCAATCCTAGTCTATGGTCTGTTAATGATGCACACTGAATATATAATCACTGATAACAAACTAAGCTGATTTTAATTATAAGCTTTTGCAAAATAAAAAAGTAACCAACTGATGAAGCACTCTTCTGCTGAAGTGGATGATTGACCCTTTCACGTTCTAGCAACACACACAGGCTGCCAAAATATCCTCTCCTTTGCAAAAACTGTAGTTGCGGAAAGAAGATGCTGCACTATTTTGCTCAGTAATTGCTAATGAAGCTATTATTCCTGACACGCTTTCATTTGCCTGTGTGTGCCATCAGGAGGCAAGCATGATGGGGATGCTGCCTTTCTTTTTTGGCCACTGCAGACTTCAGAGAAGGGGGATCTACATAAAGAACGGCTTTCATAGAACGTCCCACACACGACCTTCAGAAGCAAGGTGCAACCGCTTTAATGGGCTTCCTGCCATAGTAACAGTGTGAAGGATTGAGGCCATGGTTGAATTCTGCTTAGAGCAAGTGAAGCTTGCCAGTCACCTGCACTTTGCTGACATTCACACTAGGTTGGCCACCACAAGGTGCGATACATAGAGATGGTTTTAATAAAATTTGGTCAGATCCAATGGATTTGCAAAATGCCACTGCATAGTTATGCAGGGGTGGATGGAGTAGTTTAGAGATCAAAACGAACAGCTGGCTTACATAAAAATACTTACATAAAAACACTTACATGAAGAACCTTTTTCAAACACCACCATTTCCCCCTTCCACACAATTGTTTTCAAATTTTGTAATAACATATGTAGCCTGATACAGTAAACCAGCGGTCCCCAACCTTTCCAGTTCTGTGGACCAGCAACGGCAGGGGTGGGTTGGGGGAAGGAAGTGAGGATAGTTTTGTACACTCGCCTGCTGCTTGCATATCCTGGTTCCCAACGGGCCATGGAGCAGTACCAGTCCATGGACTGGGGTGTGTGTGTTGGGGACCCCTGCATTAAACCATAAACCAAACCTCTGCCATTTTTGCCTGTGCAGCTGGCTTGTGATTCAAGTCATGGTATGAACAAGGAACACTACTGAAAAACCTGACAAACCGTACACAAGGGAGTTAATAAGCCAATACCTTTTTCAGCATAACTAGTTGTGAGGAC